AACAATGGTGGACGCCTTTCCCGTTGCTCCAGAAAGGCACACCGCACAGCTGGATCGGCACCTCCACAGGGGGTCAGGGAGACCCCCTCCCAGGCCATAGGGCTTTTGAGGGTGAGCCTCTTTTCCTGCTACCTGCAGGGAAATTGAGGCTACCCTCTGCCCTGACGGTCCCCCATGCTGTCTGCGTCCTCTTAGCGAGGCACAAGCTGTGCCGACCCAGTCAAGCGCAGGAGATCTGGCGAAGGAGCGATTACAAGTGTGGTCAGGATAAAGACCAACAATGAACTGTGAGTTAAAATGAGCGAACCAAACCGTAAATAGAAGTGTAAATCCCCCCCAAAAAACCTCTTGAGCGATTGGAATCCTGCTGAGAGAGGGACGCCTCTCTGACGCATTTACATAAGCGGGGGAGGGGGGGAGAGAGAAAGAGACCATTGTAAATGGATACTTTGAAGCAAGAATCCCCCCAAAAAAACCTCTTGAGCAATCGGAATCATGCTGAGAGAGGGATGCCTGTCTGACGCATTTACATAAGAGGAAGGGGGAGAGAGAGAGAGGCGACTGCAAATGGATACTTTGGAAGGACTTTATAAGCATACTAGGAAAAAGTCCCGTTGTGGAAATAAATACAATGGTCTCCAGAAAGAGGCTCTGGGCGGGTGCCCTGCCTTGGACACTCAGTGTCAATTTCCTGTGGCAACCTCAGCAGGGTATAATGACACTGAGTCCACCATTTTCTCCAGAGGAACTGATCTCTGTTACCTAAAGAACAGTTGTAATTTTGAGTGATCTCCAGCCCTCACCTGGAGATTGGCAACAATGGTTCCCCAGAAGGGAATAGTTGGTTTGGAGGGTGGAGTCTATGGCTTTGTACCTGTACGAGGTCCCACGCCTCCTGAAACATCACCCTCTCCAGGCTCCATCCCTCATATCTCCAGGAATTTCCCACCTGGAGTTGGCAACCCTATCTTCTTCCCAGCCAATCATCAACCTACCTTTATTTCCCCCTCACTCTTCAGCTTTCCACCCCCCACACACCTGCAGCCTCTCCCGTGCTCTGAAGCCCTGACTGCTATGTCACATTGGCTGTCATACGGGGGCCACCTCAGCAGCATATAAGGATACAGAGCCCACCATTTTCTCCAGGGGAACTGATCTCTGCCATCAGGAAAGCAGTTGTAATTTTGAGTGATCTCCAGCCCTCACCTGGAGATTGGACACATTTTACCTCAGAGCAGCAAAACTGTTTAGAAACTTAGAGGCAAAAGCCAATCAAGTCGCATATGCAAACAACCTCTGTGTTCCAAGGCAGAGGCCAATGAGGCTGCATATGCAAATAACCTCTGTTTTCTGAGTGGCTATGGGGGGGGGGGATTAGCAAAATGTTTAGAATGTTGGAGGCAGCCAGTGGATAGGGAGACCCTCTGAATGACAGATCAGAGAGCAAACTGATTTTGGAGCGTGTGGAATGTTCTAGAGAAGTTCCACCACCATTCGGCTTTTATTTATAAGGGAGATAAGCCTGTTGTGGGAGATATCCATGAGCATCTAAGCGATTAAACAGCGTATAAGCGATTTTCAGAGCCGGGGAGAAAACGATTTTATATTGAAAATAAAGTGTTAAAACTGCGGACACTCTAAAAAAGTCAGCAAAAACAACTCCGAGAAGAAGGGAAGTGAACGTTACAGAACTCATAGCGGAAGCCACCAAGCCAATTCTGGAGCAACTTGTTGGTATTAACCATCAGCTTGCCAAGATAAATCAGCAACTCGTGTCCTGGCAGCTGCAAATGGCAACAATAGCAGAAAAAATGGAACAGAGGGCTGTCAAAGCAAAAGAGATGGACACTAAAACTAACAGCGATCTCAAAGAGACAAAAAGGAAAAGCATGAGAGAAACAGAAAATTACAAGGACTAAATTCCTTCCTTGCAGGTGTCTTCAGAAAGTGTCATCTTAAACCTAGACGATAGAAAAGAGTTTGAATCTGCCACCAAGATCAAGAAGCCTTTGTGTAGTATGAATTGGAATATAAAGATTTTTATATATAGGTTTTTCCTTCTTGATTGTTCATATTCATATTTCTCTGGTTTTTATAGATTTGTTCTTTAAGTAATATTTTATTAGGATGTTAGAAAGACCTGTTATATAGAAGGCTTTCCTCTTGTAGGTCTGATATTGTTAGCAGACAACATAATAGGTACAAAGTTCATGATTCTGTAGTTCTTAGGGCAAACCTTTCAATGTCTGGGTCAGATAGGATTTTAGTCTCGTATCAGTAATGAATACTTTTGTTTGGAGAAGAACAAGCTTTAGCCTATATGCCTTGGGTCATGTCAAGTAAATATGTGACGCTATTGCATAGGCACACCTTTCTTACGTTTGACCAATTAGGAGATTTTCATGTAAATGTTGTTTAAAAGTTTTTGTAACCAATTATGCCCTTTTGAATATTAGTCCCATGATGATGGTATGATGATGTCATTTTAAGTATTTAACTTTATGTATTTCCTGAATATGCTCAAGAAGAAGATGAAGAAGAAAAAGAAGAAAGTTGTCAATTTCTGGTTAACTATTTGGTCTAATTGTTTTCCTATTGATTGAGGCATGTTTCCTGATTATGCTGAGAAGAAAGCAATCAGTTTTGATGGGTCCTTTGGCCTAACTGTTTTCCATATTTCATTACAATAAAATACAAGAACTTCCTCCTCATTTGACTTCATTTTTGACATGGAATCTAATATTTACAACATTTGAGATGCCACTGGGCCCTGAGGATGAGACCAAAGAGGAAGAGGCTGAAGATCGGAGGTTTTATCCCTTTGGAGACGGAGGAAGACTGGGCTGCAGAATTTCGAGTGAACGTCTAAGAAGCCATCAAGATTTTAAAGAGAATTAGCAGAGATGTAAAGACAGAAGGACTCTGAAAATTGCCTTTATGAAGCGAGCTGGAGGAGATGCTCTGGGGATCTTCTCATAACAAGTAATAAACATATAAGCTTAGAAAGACAGGATCTCACAAAGTATATTGTTTATTAACAGCTTTTTTATTACTAACTGTAGTTTAACAGGGTAATGATCTCCTACTCTTGGGTTTTTAGTATAGTGTGGGTTACTTTCCTTTCTCCCTAGTGTAGTTCCCCCCCCTTTTTTTCTTTGTAGTTTGTGTACTATTATAAAAAAAAAAAAAAAAATCCCCTTCGGGGGCTTAAAAACAAAGAAACAACTGCATAGTATACTAATGGGCACTGCTACACTCACCTCTCAGTTGACAGCTTTAGATTGGTGAAGGCCAAGTAGTCTGGCCATCGTTTTCATCCTCTTTCCCCACAAAAGCTAAGCAAACTTTGCTACAACGGCCACTTCTGCACTGTCAATTCGTTTTTCCCTATTGCTTTGCCCCCCCCCCTTCCATATATGTTTTGCTCTCTCTGGGACTACTAGAGAAAGCAAAACACATGGGGGGGGGGCCCTGAAGCAATAGGGAGTTGTTCATGGAGGAGGGTGTTGAGAAAAAGGCTTATCTCACGTTTACAAGCTGAGAAACTGCTTCAGTTTCTAGTTCATAACCATATGTGCCCATTTTATTGACAATAACTTTGTGATTAAATTTGCCTTCTAGCTTTTAAATCAAGTTTCCTGTCGAAATTATCACACAAGGGGCAGTGCACATTGAATCCTGCTCTTCAGAACTGGAAGGAAACCAGCTTTATCCTCCATCATGCCTCTGCAAAGCAGACATATGCCTGTACAGAAAAGTACAACAGACTGTGGTCAACAGAAGACCATATGTTTTGCATGTAATCCTAGGTTCAATACTGGGCACATCCAGTTAAGGGGCCTCAAAAAGCAAGGTCTGGGGAAAAACATTTCTCTACTTGGGGACCTAAGACAGCAGCTACTAGACAGAGTTGAGAATATACAAAGTTAGATCAACCACTGGTTTGATACTCTATAACACAGGTTCCTATCATAATGGTATCTGATAGACATCACCCCAGTATTTCAATCAGCTGATGTCTATCATAAGCACAAGTGATAAGTGCAATCACAAAATGAAACTTGTTACCTAATGCTGCTGCAAGTTCTATTTAGAAGCCAGTCCCTTTAAGCTACACCAAATTCACTTTTGTTCATGCACAGGACTGTAGCCTAAATCCATATGTCAATTTTTTTTCAACCTAATGCCAACTTCATATGTTCTTAAGAGAAAACTAGAAAATGACACGGTTAAGATCTGACCACAAGAGAAATATTGAGTCTGCAACTTGGTTAGCAACACAAAGACTGTTTTGTGTTCATGTGCGCACTCTTGCCTCTTAAAACAATTCTGACATCTGCCAACACATCCAATTCAGAAAATCTCAGAAAACCAGCAAGTTACCTAAAGATCCCTAACACCACCATGAAGAAAACATTGTGCTGATAATCATATATTTGTAATTAGTCTAAGTAATAAAAAGGTAAAACTAAAGAAATAAGACTTGAGCAGTCACAAGATTATCATCAGATGACACTGCATTGAAAACCCAATCATAACCATGAAATCTTGAGCACCACTGATTTCAGTGGGTCTTTCAACAAAGTTATATTTTCCTCTTCACACGGTGCATGTTTCAGCAAGAATATAATACCAAATGGCAAGTAAAAATCAATAAATCAATCAAATTTGTAGCAACCCTTTAAAATGGTATTTTAGAATTACAAGGTCTATCTTAAAAATGGTTATTTGTCTACCACCCTTAACCCCAAACAAAAACTGGCAGAAGTTCCATACACACATTCTAATCCCCATACACACACACTCTGGGAAATACTGCCCATTCAGGCAAAGTTAGGGACCATTGCCTACATGCATCTTTATTATACATGCAATTCTATCATACTGGATAAAGTGTGCTGAGGGTACACATTAGAATATCTGCACAATTCTGAGTTAGGCTGACTTTGTTTAAGAACACAGCATACAGCAGGCCTTTAGGCCAAGAGATGATTACTTACAGTGACATTTTTCAGGCACTCCTGACAGGTTTTATTTGTATACTGGTCACAGCCTGTTGAGAGAGAAGAAGGCAAAAAAAGAGAGAGATTAAAATAGTGTTAATTATAACGTAAGCAGTCCATCAGTTTCACAGCTTCTTAAAAATCCATTTATTTTTGATTGTCAAATAAGGACTTTCCACCTGTAAAAAGCTACTGGTTACAAGGCCAAATTCTGCTCCTTGTTACCTATAATATACTTTTAAATACTTTTGGATCACCTCCATTCATACATCCTTAGAATCAGGAGATGGTATCCTCTCAGAAATCCTACTGAACTGTATTTTTAAATACCCAAAGAATGAGAACCTGGGATTCTTAGGAATACTCTGCTTTGGAGGGCTTTGCTCAGAAGCCAAACTTTGGGCTGGGCACCATTCTATGGCACCTTGGACCACAGTCTCCTAATTCCAGGGAAGTCCAAATTTACTCTGGGGTGCCGCATCCTCAAATCCTTAGTCTTCCTCACTGGGTTTCCTGAATCTGGCAACATGATATGGGATCTTAAAGGAAACTATCTGTCAATTCCAGGGACAAACAAATTGAGTCATTCCAAAGCTTATAGTGGGATGCAGAACTGTTTAAACATCAATATTATTTGTAGATGGATTGCAGAATAAGGAACCAGGAACTGAAAATAGGGAATTGGGAACCAATTCAACTTCAACTAGTGAGAGTCATGGTCAAAACCCATTTCCCTATTACAGTGTGCTGTTTGTTATTCTTACCTCATAAGACAGGAGATGTAACTGCAAGGTCTGTTCATTTATTTTGTCACAGTCATTTCTCACATGAGAAATTAAAAGCAGCAGGCGGCAACAGCTCTTTGAGAAGAGAAAGCACCAAAGCCTATGTGATCATCTTCTTGTGCCATTGTCTAAGCTTGTACATATGTTTGCTATATTAAGAATATATGGTACCAGATCCACATAGATAAACAAAGTGAGTAGCTGTGAGAGATCATGAAGATTTAAATTTTACCAAAAGTGGAGCTGATTAACTCAAGTTTAGACATCCGCATTACTTAACAAAGTCCCAAATCCTGCACATATTGCATACACTTAAAACCTATTTGAGTCATTATTTGGGGCCTAACTAGATTAGGTACTACAAGAAGTTGACAGATTGCTCGTATCTGTACATCCAACCACGTGCGACCTTGATCCGTGCCCCTCCTGGCTCATTAAGGCGGGCCATGAGGGGTTTCAAGGTGCCCTGCGGGAGATTATCAACAAGTCCCTTTCGGAGGGACAGTTCCCCGGGGCCCTCAAAGAAGCGATGGTCTGTCCCCTCTTGAAAAAACCATCTTTGGACCCGGCCGAATTGGCCAACTACAGGCTGGTGTCCAATCTGCCCTATTTGGGCAAACTCATTGAGAGGGCGGTGGCGATACAGCTACAGGGCTTCCTGGAGGATGCTTCAGTCCTAGATCCTTTTCAGTCCGGCTTTCGCCCGGGTCATGGGACGGAGACGGTGTTGGTCACCCTGACTGACGACCTCCGAAGGCATCTGGATCGAGGAAGTGTGGCGGCACTGTTGTTGCTCAATCTGTTGGCCGCATTTGATACGGTCGACCACCAGTTGCTGACCCACCACCTCGCTAACGTGGGGATTCAGGGGCTTGCCCTTCAATGGTTTGCCTCTTTTCTTCAAGGTTGAGGACAAAGGGTGGCGACTGGGGATCAGCAGTCCCAGAGGCACCCTCTTGATTGTGGGGTCCCTCAGGGGGCAGTGCTGTCCCCAATGTTGTTCAACATCTACATGCGCCCCCTTGCCCAGATTGCCCGGAGGTATGGGCTTGGGTGTCATCAATATGTGGATGACACCCAGCTCTATCTGATGCTGGGCGGCCGGTCAGACGCCGACCCAGATGACCTTCATCGGGCATTGCAAGCTGTGGCTGGATGGCTCAGACTGAGTTGGCTGAAACTAAACCCGGCGAAGACAGAGGTCCTGGGTCTAGGTCGGGGTTGGGACTCCCTCTCCCAATCTTTGATGGGGCGCCTCTGGTGCCAGCGTCGAGGATTAGGAGTTTGGGTGTGCTCCTGGACTCCTCTTTAACGATGGAGGCCCAGGTAGCAGCCACTGCCAAGTCAGCCTTTTACCATCTTCGGCTGGCTTGGCAGCTGGTTCCCTTCCTTGACCGCGATGACCTGGCCACAGTGATCCATGCAACGGTCACCTCGAGGCTGGACTACTGTAATGCTCTCTACTTGGGGCTGCCTTTGTCACAAGTTCGGAAGCTGCAGCTAGTGCAGAATGTGGCAGCCAGGCTGCTGATGGGTCTCTCTAGGCGAGACCATATCCGGCCTGTGCTGAAGGTGCTGCACTGGCTGCCAATAGCATACCGGATTCGCTTCAGAGTGCTGGTTTTTACCTTTAAAGCCCTCTATGGCCAGGGTCCGGCATACCTGAGGGACCGCCTTTCCCCATACGTTCCTCCAAGGGCACTACGGTCGGGGGGCCAACATCTTTTGGTTACCCCAGGCCCCAGGGACATCAAACGCGCTATGACCAGGGCCAGGCCTTTTCCGGTGGCGACTCCTACCTGGTGGAATGAGCTCCCGGAGGAGATCCGGGCCCTGCGGGACCTTGTGCAGTTCCACAGCGCCTGCAAAACGGAGCTCTTCCGCCAGGCTTTCGAGTAGGAGCCGCCGCCACTGTACCACCACTGCACTGCTACCGCAAAGAGCGGGGATGCCATCGAGGTGCATGATGGCCCTGGGCCGAAGATCGGAAGGCAGCATCGTCCTGGAACCTGCTTCGTTGTTCTGGGTCCATCTTCCAGAACCCATCTTGGAACTATGAACTTTCAGAGCACCAGCACTTTATTGTAATTTTGTATTGTTTTATCCTGCTTTTAACTGTTTTATCATGGCTTTGTGCCTGTATTGTTAGCCGCCCTGAGCCCGTTGGGGAGGGCGGGATATAAATTTGAATAATAAATTAATAAATAAATAAGATCTGTGGCCACCTTCTTCCAGCTTCCTTAGGTAGAAACAGGGGAGCCCCAACTGGGATTGTGTGTAGGGGAAAAAATCTTTCACCCTGATATTCTGTGGTTGGTGCCTCTTCCTGTGGTAGCCATTTTATGAGTGTGCCCACTGCCCTCGGTCAGAATTTCAAAGATGCCCACAGGCTCAAAAAAGTTGGGGATCCCTGGGCTAGATGTTACAAAAATTAAAAAATGGAGGCAAAAAAAAAGCAGATCTTCCATGTCCAGATTTTAAGTATTACTTAAAAGGCATTTCATGGATTTTGTTTCTTGTTCTGGATTTTGCATGGGCTAATATGGCTGTTTACAACTTTTTTTCCAACTTAAAGGGAAGAGAAACTTGCTTGGAACCAGTTACAACAAAGCTAGGCAGCTGACTTAAGGAAAAGGCAAGACAGCAACATTGAGAACCCAGGGAAAGCACCATAAAAGGCTCACAAAACCACTGCAGCCCATCTTGCTAGAATTTCTGTAGCTGACAGTAACTCCAACAATGAACTGCTGTTCTAGTGCCAGTACAAGGCTAAAGTCCCTTAAGCACAGCATTTAATTTGTAATGGAAGTCTAAACTGACATTGTCAAAGGTCCGTCCAACCCTCCCTGGAACACTGAGCATGGGTGCCAACACATTACTTAGCTCACACTTAATGTAATGGCCAGAATCAGAATTTTATTGATGGGAATTTCCATTTCAATTCTTTTAAACTCAGGGAGTGCAACCAAGGTTGTGGTCACACACACTAAATAACCCACTTTCCAACTGGATTTTGCAAGTTCACATAGTAAAATCCAGTTGGAAATTGCACTGAATGTGGATTATTTAGTGTGTGTGACCGCAGCCCAAGTGTTTACTGGGTACTAATAAGTCTCCATCACAGGGCCTTGGCTCCACACCCTTGGCGTCAGGAGAATTCTATTAGGACTCCCTCCACTTACTCCCTCCCATAAATATCTGAGGTAAACAAGGCTATTCAGCCTCGAGATTAGAGAAAGCCAATGGCCTCAAGCAGCTGTATCTCATGCCACAGCACCAAGGAACGCAGGCCAACTTGAACCGCACCGTCTACTCAAACGAGGACCACCCTCCTTGTCTGGCTTTCTTCCTCAGGGCAAGGTAGCTTTCTGGCACCCACCATGAAGGAACGACGTAGCCTCCAGCCCACCCAGCATGCCTGCCCGGAGCCCCGAGCTCCTTCCACGACTGGCGCTGCCTCTTCCCTTCAGCGCTACGTAGTGATCGGGCCAGCCAAGGGAAAACTTGAGGAGGGAAGGGCACAAGCTGCTCTCCAAGGATGCGGCGGAGGAGCCTAGCCGCTCCCCCCACCAATGTTCCCTCTAAGCTGTGGAGTCCTGTAAGCAAAAAATTCTACTTTGTGAGCTGCTGGCATTAAAGTTGTGAGCAATTGATTTGGCTACTGCCTAAATCAGTTTGCTCTGGAGCCCTCCTTCCTGAGCGAAGACAAAAATGTGTGAGCCGGAGGCTAAAAAACTGTGAGCTAGCTCACACTAACTCAGCTTAGAGGGAACTCTGCCCCCCACCCCGCAAGCGCCCCTTCATCCAGGGCTCGCCTTTGCAGACCGCCCCCACCCCCACCCCACCCCACCCCACCCCGGCATCGGAAGGGCTTACTTCCTTGCTTCGCGGGCGCGGAGGTGGTGGGCTGTCCCCAGGCGGCATTTTCCAGAGCCAGGAGAAGGAGCAGCAGGAGCGACGCTCTCAAGCAGGTACCCATGGCGGCGCCGTCCTCTTTTTCGCAGCAGCTTCTACTCCTTTGCTTTCCACAACAGGAAGCACCCCGTGACACACGCGCGGCCCTGCCGAGCCCTCGCACTATTGACTGACGAGAGTACGCACAGGGCGGGACAAAGAGCACTCGCGAGAGGAGGGGGGGGCAGCGCGTCTCCGGTGGTCTGGCTGAAGTGGTGCGTTCGGCGGATCCTCGGCCGTCGCTCGCTCTCTTTGCGGTTCTTGACGCAGCCTGAGAGGGCTTACCAGGAGAGAAACTCTACACCGAGCTCTCACGTGCCATTGGAAGCGCTCTTCAGTCTCCCGCTAAGTGACAGGCACGTTTTTAAAACTATCCCCACACAAAACAGGGCTGAAATCAGGATTTTGATTCTAACGAAGCATTTCAATGCACTTCCCTTCTAAGACCATTGACTTCCGTTTAGAACTTCACATTGTAGGGTGTGTGTCCTCGATCGGGTTCATCCATACGTGCTTCTTAAAGCGGCTTTCAGCCTTCTCTCTAGGGGTGTGCCCGTGAGAAAAATGCTAAGGCAGTTTTCAGCGTGTTTGGTGCTGGTTTATGCACGTTCAGCGTTTTGTGCATTTAGATCTCTCTGCGTTGTGTTGTACAATATAGGTAAAGGTTCCCTTGCTCGAAAGCCAGTCGAATCCGACTCTCGGGTTGCGGTGCTCATCTCCGTTTCAAAGCCGAGGAGCCAGCGCTGTCCGAAGACGTTTCCGTGGTCATGTGGCCGGCATGACTAAACACCAAGGCGCACGGAACGCTGTTACCTTCCCACTGAAGTGGTACCTATTTATCTACTTGCAATTTCTTGCTTTCGAACTGCTAGGTTGGCAGGAGTGCTTAATTAAGAACTGGTACAAACTCATAACCATTACTTTGCTTCACACATGCGTGCTAAAACTGAGCTCATAAGTCACTGAATATTGCAGTGTTGTAATAATTCATCATTCTGACCTGGCTGGCCCAAGCTAGTCCGGTCTTGTCAGATTTCAGAAACTAAGTAGGGTGGGCCCTGGCAAGTATTTGGTTGGGAGACCTCCAAAGAATACCAGGGTCCTGATGCAGAGGCAGGCAATGGCAAACCACCTCCAGGCATCTCTTGCCTTGAAAAGCCCATGGGGTCACCATAAGTAATCTGTGCCTTGATGGCTCTTTCCACCACCACCACCAAACAGGGTCAGGTGTGGTTACTGCTTGGATGGGAAAGCTCCAAGGAATACCAGGGTCACTGCACACAGGCAGGTAATAGCAAACCGCTTCTGAAAGTTTCTTGTCCTGAAAACCCTTTTGGGTCACTATAAGTTGGCTGCTCTTTCCACCATCACTAGTAATTCACCTGGAATGTCCTGTCTGGATAGAAAAATCCAGCAGGTGAGGGATTACAATAGCACAATATGCAGCAACCTGTGGATCCTATCTGAGAGTGGCTAAAATCAATTTTAATAGATAGTGCATATGTAAACGCTAATGGTTTAAGACAATTAAAGATAATAACAATGAAGTCCTAAACAGAATTATTCCTTTTAAGCCCATTCACTTCAATGGGTCCACTGTGTTAGATTCCATAGTGTAAAGTTAAATAACTAGAGATTTATTTATTTATTTGACTTTAACCCCGCCTTCCCCATCAAGGCGGGCTTAGGGCGGCTCCCATAAAACTAATAAAACAATATAGATCTTATAAAATTACAGATACATCAATTAAAAGCATTAATATCGATGGCGATACAAAACAGTAAAGTGCAGTTGGAGACACGTTCAGCGGTGACACCGCACTAGGTCACTTCTGGGTCTGAGTTCACACAGGGTCCAGCTGGTAAGCTGCCGCTCCTATTGGAATGCCTGCCTAAAAAGCTCATTCCAATAGGACGGAGCTGCCAGAGAGAATGCCCTGGTCCTTGTCTATGTCAACCTTGTGGAGAGATGTGGTGGTGGTGTCTTGTCTGGGGAATGCCCTCTTCCTAAAGGCTTTCCTGGTGTCTGTCAGGCCCAAATGTTGTTGTTGTTTTTCATCCTGTCTTTTTACCTGAGGGCTTCCTTCCCTTTTCCCCTCTGTTTTATGGTCTTGCTTCAAGCCTGAAGATTCACTTAAGGCTGCTCAGAGTTTGTTTTGTGCTGTTTTTATGTCTTGGCTTCTTTTTAATGGCTTGTTTGGTTTTGTTGTATTGATTTAGTTGTAAGCTGCCTGGAACAGCTCTCTGGAGAGGCAGCACATACATTTTCAACATAAATTTTAAAAGATCAACATGCAGTTGCAGAGGTATGCTTTGTGCTAAGGATAGCACTGGACCAAGCAAGCTTGTTTATTAAAACTGTCTGAGAGAAGCCTTTGGGGTAGACAAAAATATGAAAGAAAACTAGGTAGGAAAGTGAAGAAATTTTTGAGGCTGGTGAGAATATGGGCAGAGACTGGCTAGAGCATGACAGGGATTGTACTGAACACCCAGACACCCCATAGGAGAATAATCTCGATGCTACATCTCTGCTGGGAGGGGAAAGGAAGAGCCCAACGGAAGCTTCAGATCTGCACAATGAAGAGAAAATGCTTGGTAACCCAAACTTCTTTCTCCAAGGATCCAGGTCTCTGCTTCTTGATTTTCCTCCTTTCCCTGTACACAGACACCTGAACAATCAAGGCAATATGTTGCTTGGTTAGGCAGCCCTTCTTCAGACCTTGCCTCAAGCCACTGTTCTCCCAGGTTCATCAGCTCATCTGCAGCATAAGAACATAAGAAGAGCCCTGCTGGATCAGACCAATGGTCCATCTCACGACTAGTCCAACATCCTGTCTCACACAGTGGCCAACCAGTTCCTCAGGACAGCCAAAAACAGGGCATAGAGGCTGATAGCCTCCCCTGATGTTGCCTCCTGGCTCTGGGATTCAGAGGTTTAGTGCCACTGAATGTGGCGGTTCCCCTCAGTCACCATGACTAACATCCACTGATAGTAGGTTTGCCATGTCCCTTTCACCTGCCAGCAGGGGGATTGGGGGGATGTTCCGGGAGTGGTAAGTTATGTTGCCCCCCCCCATTCTCCCCAAAACAGTGACATCGCACGCGATGTGCCTGCATCACCGGAAGTGATAGCAGTCAGGGGCAATGTTCTGGATTTTGGGCAAAATCGGCATCAAACCATAGAGTTTTGCCCAAAAGCCAGAGCATCACCCCTGACGTTGCTGACGTGCCAACATCACTTCCAGGTGATGCAGGCATGTCATGTGTGACGTTGCTGTTTGGGGGGATTCCCTCCCACCGGCCAAGTGGCTGGCAGCGGGCAGAAGCCTGCAAAATCAGGGGATCCCCCACCCCCACTGGGCAAATGGCAATCCTAACTAATAGACATCAATCTATCTAATCCCCCTTTAAAGCTGTCTATTCCTGTGGCCATCACTACATCCTCTGGAAGCGAATTCCACATTTTCATCACTTTCTGTGTAAAAAAGTATTTCCTTTTTTACATCCTGTATCTATTGCCTGTCAGCTTCATTGGATGCCCTCGAGTTCTAGTATTTTGGGAAAGGGAGAAAAAATTATCTTTGTCAACTCTTTGTACCCGACTCATTCTTTTATAAACCTCTATCATGTCCTCCCTTAGTCATCTCTTTTCTAAACTGAAAAGTCCCAGACTCTTCAGCCTTTCCTAATAGGAAAGGTGCTCCAACCCCAAAGGCCCAACTGCTTCTCTGGCTGGTTTTCTTCTCCGGATATATATATATATTTTTAAATGTTTATTGTTTGCCTTAATGCTTTTAGCGACCTGCTCCTCAAAAATCTTTTGTGTGCCTAATTATTAACTTGCATTATTAACTTAAAATGAGGATCATACCTTAAAGAGGTTCAGAGAGAGCACAGAATCACGGAAGGCACCTCCAGGGCCATCTCGTCCCGCCCCCTGCACAAGGCAGGACATTCAAAACTACCTCCCCCCCGCACATACATACACCCAGTGACCCCCTGCTCCATGCCCAGAAGAGGGCAAAAAAGCCCTCTAGGATCCCTGGCCAAACTGGCCTGGAGAAAATTGTTTCCTGACCCCAAAGTGGCAATTGGCATTTCCCTGGGCATGTATGAAAGAACCAGTTTCAGATTGCTACAGATTAACAGAAAACTGATGGCTTCAGAAATATTGTGCTAGCAGTCAGTCACTATCAGATGGACCATGAATGAAGCAGCTTTGAAAGGGCTTCTTGCTTCAGTCACCAGCCCATGTCATGCAACCTTTTTTTAAAAGCTTACTTGCAAACAGGGCTCTTTTTGTAGAAAAAGCCCAGCAGGAACTCATTAGCATAATAGGCCGCACCCAACAGCAGAAACTCATTAGCATATTAGGCCACACCCCTGACAGCACAGCTCATTAGCACATTAGGCCGCACCCCCATGTTACCAGAAGTGTGGTCATCCAGCCACACCCACCTTTTGCTTGTTATTCTGTTTACCTTGCTTGTTGTCAAAACCCAGGGCTTTTTTTGTAGCAGGAACTTCTTTGCATGTTAGGCCACACACCCCTAATGTAGCCAATTCTAATGAGTTTCTGCTGTTGGGTGTGGCCTGTTATGCTAATGAGTTCCTGCTGGGTGTGGCCAACTTGGGAGCCAGCCGAAACTCCGTTCCCGTGCGTTCCTGCCCAAAAATAGCCCTGCTTGCAAATATGCCCCTAATACTACCCTGGCTAGTGGCAAAGCTCAGGTTATGTATGTCAAGGTACAAGGCCTTTTTCAGTCTTTTTTCCCCTTCAAAATTCAAACAATAGTTTAAGCTGAAGTGAGGCCTAGAAAAATTATGGATGTTTTCTGCTCCCCGAGAAGTGAGAAACCAAGGTTGAGCTGACTGTAGCTTCAGAGGACTGGGGTTTTTCCACAGGTGCTGGTTAGATCATTGGGCCTAGCAGCTTCAAGGCCACCAGAGGGGACCTACACATTCGGTCTCATTAACACAAAGGTTTATGGGTTGTAGAAAGGTGTCTGCTTAATTGGATCTGATACAGCTGCAGAGTGTCAGGGCTAACTGGCAGTCTTACCTAGGGTTGCCAGCTCTGGGTTGGAAAATACCTGGAGATTTAGAGGGTGGATGGAGCCTGAGGAGGGTGGGG